TCCGCGACGGCCCCCCCCGCCCCGACCCGCGCTGTTTGTTCCCCTTTTTTGTCTCCCCTGCTTTTCGGTAACGCTTCCCTAAGGTGGAGGGTTGTCATGTTTTAATTTCCCAGTCCTGTCGAGAGGACTCGTGGGGCCAGCTAAATAATCCCTGTGTGGAAAGTGTTACTTTCTGTGTTACTTGCTCTGCTTTTCAGGCCATGGTACAGAGGCAGAAGTGCAGAAGGATTTGGGAAGTTCGTAATAGGGGGTCTCTGTTTCTGGAGTTTCCAGTTCTGAATTTGAAAGCCCTACTTGTTTTTATTTGCCTGGATTTCCAGGTTCATTTTCAAGAAGTGGAAGAGAGGGAAGAACTTGTGAAAGGCCCCAGTTTTCTTCACTTTATTAATGATAAGAAAGAAGAGGATTGAGGGATGAGAAAAGGGAGGGGAGGGGAAACTGCAATTCTATGTGAAAATCACTGTTTTTCCTAAAATCAGGCAGCAGGACCTTTGTTCCCTTCAACTTCCTCCCACCCCAATTTATAAGATTTCCAGTGTTCTTTGATTTTCTACCCCAAGCATTACCTCTGCAGAGTTACCGTGCCAGAAGTTTGCCTTAAATATCTCAATTTTTAAAAATCTTATGTGCATCTTGTGAAAGGTCTTGTTGGGCTGTGTGATGGGAAAGCAAGTATCATGTGAGGGGACGCGGATGAAATCCATGCCCATCTCGGTTGTTATGGAGTGTTTTTTGGATTTCTTTTATTTTTCTCTTCTTTTTTTAAAGAGTGAAGAGTGTTTTAAGCAAATTTTCCTTGAGATTGTTCCTTTGTCAAACTGCAAACTGAAACAGTGAGTTTCACTGGCGACATTTGTTTGTATTGTAGTCTAGGTATAGTAATTTCCTACTGAAATAACAATACCATTTGTGTTGGGCCTTTGTTTGCTTCACAGAAAGTTGAACTGTTTGGCAATAGAATTCCTGTTTTTACTTACTGATTTTCTTGGGGGAAGCTCAGATTAACAATATAGTTTCTGGCATGGCTGTGTGTAATCATGTGCCTTATCTTAGGCCCATGTACACATTGGTGCCAAATGCAGTGAATCATCCTTTTAGCTGTTTTCAATCATGATATGAGGCTTCATAAGATTATAAAGGCAATTCATATTTAAACATCACATCATTCTCGAGGTTCTGCTTGAGCTTTTTGCAGTGCTCTTTCTGCGGCAGGGATTGCCCTCAAAGGTATTATTCTCCAAGTTAGGCCTGACACGCATGCTGAATTTCTGAGATCTCTCCTCCTTTGATGTCCCTCACACCCATCTTGATGCAG